CAAGCTACAAACATCCCCTAGTGCTAAATAAGTGACTGTCACTTCTTCAATTATAGCTTTAGCCTTTTTCTAGTCTGTCCTCCCTTAAGACAAATCCTATTAAGATACTCATCCTCTACTCTATTGGTCTTCCTTCTATTTATTTATTTTTAATTGGTGCTTTATAAAAACACACAAAGATGAAATTTACTGCAGTATACTTTTACATGCATGTAGTATAATTTTGTTGAATTTATTCCACATTTTCTCCTCTTTTCTTTCCCATCTCCCCAGGTAGAAGAAGGAAAACAGGTGAATGGAGGAGGGGGCGAGAAAGAAGAGGTACCATGCATGTATGATTATCTCAAAATGAATTCAACTGTTATGTAAAACTATAATGCACTAATAAAAAACACTTAAAAAGATACCCAGTCACAGAATTTGGCCCACTTCATCCAATTTAGAGCAAAGCCCCAATCTTTCTCAAACTCACCTAACAAGCCTAAATCTTGTAAGGTTTTTCCTAAAACTGTCTTACTGAAATAATTCTCAATGGTTTGCATTTTCCCTTACTGCAACAAATACTAAACGCAAAACGTTCAACTATAGGTATGTTCCTGGTAGTCTCTAGTCAGAGGACAAAAATGAACTAAGAACTTATTGAATAAAAGTTTAGTGTTTTAATTATGTTTGAGTTTCTCCCACAGGGCATACTTTGGGTCTTGCATGTTGAATTTGTTGAACTAGACTGGATAAATAATACTGTTGCCTCAAGATCCAACCTAGTCACTTGCAGGGCTAAAAAATAGTTGTTTTGTTGTTGTTTGTTTGACCTCATTATGCTGCCAGTTTTCAATTTTGCAATTTCTAGAAAAGAAAATGGCAATGGGGATTACTGATCATTACTATTTTCTTGGAAAAAAATGCCTAATTTCATGTATTTACAAGTTCTCAAACTGCTCCCATTGTTTTCTCTTCATTTACATAATATATTAAGAGAAAAATGACCTTTTGAAATCAAAATAATTTTCTAATTTCTTTCTCCTTTGAACTTTCCTTTAGAGTAGATCTGATGTTTCACTAGGAAAAAAGAAATGTTAAGGCACCAAAATAATACATTTAAAATAATACATTTGTTCTCAGGCACTTATTGGCCAATATATAGGGAGTTAATTTAAGACAACAAAGAATTATGTATATGTGTTATTATATATGTATGAACACATATACATAAGTGTGCCTTTGTGTTTCCATAGCTCAGAGGGATCAAAACTCAGTAACATAGGATTCACTTGATAAGTACATAGTGACAAAAGAGTATGAGCTATTCCAGGAGAACAAGGCCACTGGAAAGTGATAGAAAAGGAACTCTAAATGTTCAAAGTGAGGTGCTCACAGGAAAACATGAACAGGAGGGATGCCAAGATATGTGATTATGGGAACACAAAAGGCTCCCAGTCCAGTGCAGGTGGTAGATAGGACTCTCCTGAAGCCAACTATAACATAAAAGCAGCACACTCTTGGAAGACCTCACCTACCCTGGTACCTATTCAAAGTCTCATTCAGCTAACCCTGGAACAAGTGACAAGTTTTTGACTTAACATGCTGACATACTTTTATTCCACTCAAGGTATATATGGTAAGCAGAGGAACTGCTATTCTGCGCAAAATGGTTGATAAAATGAAAGGAGGACTTTAAGAGAATGAAACCATGCCATCTTAGTATTTGTAGCAACAAAGGTAGGAGTTGTGTGGAATAGGGTCTGGGAAGGCAGATGAAAGTGTTGAAAACAAGACATTCCATGGCAAGAAACTCTTAAGAGGAAAACTTTTAAAATGCACTTCTGATTGGGTATTTCAAAAATTTTCAAACAGATAGGAAAGGGGGGAAATAAAGCACATTTTCTGTGCTTTTACAGATAATTCCTGTAAAAGCACAGAAAATGTTGAACAGAAAAACACATAATCAACACAAAAAAGTGACAAGACTTGGAAAAGCTACAAGAGAAGGCCAAGGTCCAAAATAAACTAAGATTTACAAAAAGGCTAGCAAGAGTAGAAGAGGTATTTTTAGTGATGTTCAGAGAAAAAGTCCAATTTGCCCCATAATAAAATGTAATTGCTGAGAAAGCAGAACTTCTTACTCTTCACTTCTATGCTCTCTATCAAAGAAGATGACTATGAGTTAAATAGGGGGGAACTGTCAATTCTAAGGTACCAATATATACTACATTGAGGAACCCTGAAAACATGTTAGGTTAAAAAAGCCAGTTACAAAATATCATAGGCAAATTAACAGAGACATGAAGTAGATTAGTGATTGCTCAGGGCTGGAGACAGAGCAACAGAGAAGTTGGGGAACTATGGCCAAAGGTATAGGAAATCTTTAGGGATGATGAAATATTCTAAAATTGATTATGGTGATGAGTGATGGTTGCACAATTCTGTGAATATACTAACTCATACACTTTAAATAGGCAAATTGCTTATGTGAATTAGATCTCAAGAATGCTGTTACAAAAAAAAAAAAACCTTTCCTCTTCTATGAGACTTTTGTTAAAACCCAATAAAACGGACCCTTACACATATGTATCTTCCCCACGTAGATTTGAATTGATGCCATGTCTATTTTCTTATACTAAACTTTAGGTTTCTTGAGATAAGGATTTGCCTCATTTTTCTTGAAATGCACAGTGTTATTATGTACATTGTGTGTATACTATGTGATAGTATACATCATAATATTTGTTAAAACATTCTTAAAGGCTGTCATGTGGAAAGGGGACTGTATTTTTTTTTTTTACACACAGCAGACAAAAATGAAAGTACAATGAAACAAATTTTATTAATTTCCAAATAATTGGGACTGCCCCTTTCTTCAAAGCAAGGACTTCCAGGTCTTTGAATTCTCTGAATTGATAAAGTTTTGTGTGTATGTATAAATAGTACACATTTTTTTCTAGAGAGAAAATACATAGCTTTAATCAGATTTTATGTAACCCAAAAATAATTAGGATTCATTGCTTTAAAAAATGTTAATGTACTAGGAAAGGAATTTTTAGGTAGCAAACCTCAGGTACTAGCATGTATCATTCAAGGTAGTTTTTTACCTAGTCAATGTTACTTAGTAGTTTTTAATATAAATGAAAACTGACAATACTAGTAGCTTCACAATCTTAAACATTCATTTAGATGTTTTTATTGACTTCCCACTACAGCCAGGTGTTAGTAGTAAATGAATAAGATAAAATCTCTACCTTTGCAAAGTTTACATTTTAGAAGGAAGAAAAAAACCAAGTAAACAAATAAGAAACTTTCATCTCACATATTATGTCTGTTATATGGGAGAAAAAAAGCATAATAAAATAGGAAACAATAGGGAAAGAGAGTTACTTTATCTGGGGTCATCCGGGAAGATCTCTTTAAAGAGGTTAAATCTAAGCAGAAACTTGAATGATAAGAAGTAAGCTGAGGGAAGAGCTTACTTCAGGAATAAAAAGAACTGAAAGTGGAAAGATCCTAAGATACCAGCACTGGAGTTCTTAGGGGAAGAAGCCATATCTAATTTCCACTCTAGACTCTCTATTACATTCAGAAGAGTATTTCCCACTCACATGTGATAATACTTGTTCAAGATAATTCACCAGCCAGACCTGGTGGTGCATGCCTTAATTCCAGCAACTCTGGAGGCTAAAGCAGGAGGGTCATGAATTCAAAACCAGCCTCAGCAACTCATCAAGGCCCTAAGCAACTCAGTGAGACCCTGAATCTAAATACAAAAAGGGCTGGGGATGTGGCTCAGTGGTTGAATGCCCCTGGGTTCAATCACTAGTATCCCCACCCCCTGCAAAAGATAATTTGCCATAATGGGAATCCAAACCAGTAAAAACAAGTATTTTAGAAGAATCTTCATTGCTCAGGGTCATCATGAATTTACTCTTCTTCTAAGCAGACAAGGTTACTGGATACAGTGAGAAAACCTTTTGAACTTTGCAATAAAGACAAAAAAAAAATCAAATATGATAAGATGTTTCAGAAGTCTAGTCTAGGCATAGTCTTATAAGCATGAAGACTATCAAAAAGACTCTGTTAACAAAATCATGCCCTTCACTCCTGGAGCTAAGTGCTATGCACGCAGCACAGTATTTGTAATGATGCTTATGGGAAGATGGAACTACAGCCAACATGCACAAATTAGAGTGAACGGGATTACAGTTCAAAAAGAACTGTCCAGCAATCAACAAGTTAAACATTAGAGAAAGTGTTCAGAGACTTTAAAATCATGTCTCAAGGATTTTACTGGGATGATTTACAAGAAAAAGTTACCGGCAGAACTTTATGACCTAAGGAGACTTGTTTTGGTTCCTTCTCCCAGCCTTCAGCATATATGCCTTTACATTGATTCTGTAGAGCCCCCAAATGCATTCAAAAAGGCGGATTTTTAAATATCACAATCATGCCAATAACAAAGAATTAACAGATATTTAAGTACAGGAGACGTAGTATTTTGCTAATCTACTCCTCAGGAAGTGAAACTTGATTTATTAAAATCTTCAAGTTCTATTTTTAAAAGCACAAAAACAGCGCTCAACATCACGTTAAAAACCACCGATTCCAACTAATTTATTTTCTACAAAAGCACGACAAAGAACACAAACCCTAAAGGAAACCCTACTGACCCAAACAAAGCTCGTGAACAGATGATGATAAACTGAGTTGAGCAAGCCACTGAGTGAAAAACGAAGGATCTGCAAGCAAACTACCGCGTGCGAGGCCCCCCGGGAAGGGACCCCGGTATGTGTGCATTCCTGGCCACGCGTGTGGAAGACCCACTGGGGGTTCCCGGGGGCAGGTGGAACTGGGCTGCCGCCTGCTGAGGCCCAGAGAACCGGCCAAACGCCGTCTCGCTTACCCTCTCTGAAGGGTATCTGGGCGAAGGCCGGAGACTCCTAGCGTCACCTCGCTCAAGCAGCACTGGCAGTCCTCGCTGGGCGGTTGACGGGGAATTAACTGGTTCTTACCTTCGGGAGCTGGCGGCGGCTCCTGCCGCTTTCCGCGAGACAGGAAGGCCTTGGGCAGCAGCAGCGACACAGCCAGGATGAGCCCCGAGGCCAGGGCCACTCTCTGCACTGTGGAGTACGCCATGGCTGCTCCCTGTGGCCTCTCCCCGTGGCCGCAGGTGAAGACTCCAGTCACAGCTGGAACCGGAACCGGAACCGTGGCGCCGGCGCCCGTCCCGACCAAACCGGGGGCTACCCGGACGGCGTCACGCGAGGGACAAGGTGCGCGAGGCGGACCTGACCTGCAGCTCCCGAGTGGTTATCCGTCACTCTAAAGGGTACCCTCACCCTGGCGTTTATACTAACTGCAAAGTCCTGGAGACCCTCATTGTTACACAAAATTACATATAAGAGTTTGTGAGGGGAAAGGGAAAAAAAAAAAAACAAGAGAGAGATGAATAACAGCAGATGGGGGAGAGGAGGGAAGGGGAGGGGGATAGTAGGGGATAGGAAAGGCAGCAGAACACATCAGACACTAGTATGGCATTATGTAAAAATGTGGATGTGTAACTGATGTGATTCTGCAACTTGTATTTGGGGTAAAAATGGGAGTTCATAACCCACCTGAATCAATTGTATGAACGATGATATGTCATGAGCTTTGTAATGTTTTGAACAACCAATAAAAAAAAAAAGAAGATGGAAAACAACGGAAAAAAAAAAAAAGTCCTCCTTCTCCCTTATTCCCCATGCCCACCTGTCACCGAGTTCTGTGCATTCTACCGCCCAAACATCTGGCAGTTTTGCCCCTCTCTCTGTCCCACTGACACCACCACTTATCCCAACCCCTAAACCATACCATTGATTTCCTCCCTACCGTGATGAACTCTGTCTTCCAACTTCCACTCATGGCCCCTCGTGTCCATATTCCATCTATAGCCAAAGATGATAATACTAAAATAAAGAAATAATTATCTCTCTCCCCAACTTAAAATTTTTCAATAACTCTCCAATATCTTCAGAACTACAGTTAAATGTCTTATGACCTCAAGGCCCTGCATGATCCTCTTTTATCAATGCTCCATCCAAACTGGGTGATTTGCTACTTAGCATATTTTTTATTTCCAGAGAACTTTTGCTCATGCTCTTGCTTCTGCCTGGAAAATTCCTCATGTCATCCCTACCTGTCAAAAACCTCTGAAGAAACAGATTAAAACAACTAATTTCATGAAACTTTTCCAGTCATCCTCTTCATTCACTACAAAACCTTCCTTATTTCTTATTGTCTTTATTCATTTGTTTAACAGTCTTTTAGTGTTTAATTATGTACCAAACCCTGAATCTGGCACTACTGATGAATAAAATGGGTTCCCTTGTGGAAGAGATAGATATCTAAACCAGAAAATTCAGGAAATATTCTGGACTCTGGGGCAGTCAGCTCAACTGGAAGGAGGACAGGTCAAGGAAATCTCTTAAAAATGGTGAAATTTTTAGTCATGTAATAGACAGGTGAGAGGAATTAGAAGGGTATTAGAAAATGGCTCAAAGCTAATATATGAAAGCTCCAAGATTCCTATTTTGTTCAGGAAATCATCAGTAATTTATTTTGGCTGGACCATATAGTTGGTGACAGGACACAGAGTGAAAACACTTCAGTAGGAACTATGTTCTAAAAAGCTTAGCTAGAACTTCCAGTTAACCATGTCAGATCTGACACTTGAATTTATCTTCGCTTGCCCAAGACACTTCTCAAAAGTGAAAAGTAAAGACATAGTGTATAACCACAAGATAGAAAACATGACAGCTGATGAGAATTGTCAAAATTATGTAAAATGCACAGCAAGACTGTATAATAGAAACAGTAATTATGTTAGAAACATATGTAATTATGTGGCATTTATACACAATGGAATATTACTCGGCATTAAAAAAATAACAAAATCATGGCATTAGTAGATAAATGGATGGTGTTGGAGAAGATAATGCTAAGTGAAGTCAGGCAATCCCCCCCAAAAACAAATGCCAAATGTTTTCTCTGATATAAGGGGAGTGACTCATAGTTGGTTAGGGAGGGAGAGCATGGGAGGATTAGATTAATTCTAGATAGGGAAGAGGGGTGGGAGGAAAGGGAGGGGGAAGGGGATTAGCAAGGATGATGAAATGTGATGGTCATCATACAAAGAACATGTTGAAGACTTGAATTGTCAACATACCTTATATACAAATAGAGATATGAAATATTGTGGTATATTTGTGTATTAAGAATTATAATGCAAAAAAGTACATGTATAATGGCATAAATTTACATGAACATACTTTATATACAGAGATACGAAAATTGTGCTCTATATGTGTAATAAGGATTGTAATGCATTCCACTGTTGTCGTGTATTTTAAAAAATAATAAAAATCAATTAAAAAAATTCTAGTAGCCACATTTTTAAAAAAGTAAAAATTAACAGGCAAAATTCATTTTAACATAGTTGAATTTAAACCAATGGATCTAAAATAGTATTTCAAAATGTGTTAACACTGTCACATTTCAATGGCACAGAAGCCATGTGTGATTCATTGGCCACCATATTGGATATTTCAGGTGTAGAGGATAAAAAAGTGACCACAGAAGAAAAGCTTGTGAGAAGCACACTAATTTTCCCCTAAAAACTTAGAAAGTCTTGGGCGGGGGATGTGGCTCAAGTTGCAGCGTGCTCGCCTGGCATGCGTGAGGCATTGGGTTCGAGCCTCAGCACCACATAAAAGTAAAGTAAAGATATTGTGTCCACTTAAAACTAAAAAATAAATATTAAAAAAAACTTAGAAAGTTTTCAAAACTGGAGACACTGCATTCCTTCAAAGTCAGGGGCATAGAGTGGGGTTGAGAAAAGAAGGACTGGTTGTTGAAAGTCTAGTTTAGAAACTGTTGATAACCTCCAAATCTCTTTCCTAAATTTATGAGTCAGGTGGTTATCACTTCTTACATCATTCAGACATCATTATTGTTTATGTCATCAATATCACTGAAAGTTATTGAGTAGTTAACTATGTTCCAGGCATCTTACCTATCATAACTCATTGGATTCTCTCAACAATTTTATGAAGTAAGCAATATTATCATATACCCATTTTACAGATGAGAAAATTAAGATACAAAAATCTTAAGAAACTTGTCAACAACTACAAAGTTATGGGTGTGAACCCTAACATACTTACTCTAGAACTTGCACTTTTAACTACAAATTTTACTCTCTGTAGAGATTAAATCAGAGAAGCTCTGGACTTATGAATAACAGGTGCAGTTTAGGGAGGAGGTAATTGAAAGTATGTGGCCTCTAAGAGGTTCAGAGGAATCTGGAATGCCCTCAAAATTCTGGCTTGGGTTAATGAGTAGATATTAATTCTATACAACAATATTTTTAAAACAGAAAAAGAAATAGGACTGTGAGAAAATAATGAGTTTAGGTTTTGAGTTTGAAATTCCATGAAACATCCTTGTAGAAATCACCAATTGGATACATGGGTCTGGAGTTCAGAAGAGATGTCTGAAGTTCAGAAACAGGTATGGAAGTCATCAGCCCATCAATAGTAAATAAAGTCTGAGAGAAGATGACATTAGCAAGAGTGCTCATGTAAACAATAAGAGGCCACAATGGAGACCTACGTTACAGTGTTATGTTGAACTTCTCACACACAATGGCAGAAATAGGGAAGAAATAAAGACAATAATACAGGTGTTAAAAACTTGAATGAAAGAGGAGTTACAGGAAAGTTAGAAGGTGCCAAGTACGGTTATAATGAATGGACTTATGATATGCTCTTCTAAGGAAATGTAGCTTTTTAAAGAAGAGGGGAAAGAAACAATTTGGAAGTATCAAGAGGTAATAAGTTGTATATCTATTCTATTCCATGAGAAGAAAAATAACTCTTGCTTAGGGATGACTGCAAAGGAAACAGAGACCAGAGGGAGCAGCCAAGTGTCCATTAGAACAAGAAAATTAAGAGAAACTTCAAAGAAGTAGAGGATGGTAATTTTTCTGATGACAGATCTTGAGTCCAGAAGAAACACTAAGTAGAAAGCTTGAGAAGTTGGAGAATGGAATAAAAGATGGAGTCAGGGTAAAATATGTACAGCAGTATGGAGATGAGTGACCATGTGAAAATAGATGGTTTTGGAGGATTGGACTTCAGATGGTGGCCGAGGTGAACCATGTGAGCAGAGATCAGGTTCACAGTACTTCTGGAAGTAGCCTAGAGAAAGCTGAAAACACAAAGTTGTAGTGCAGAATATTTAGTTAGGATCATATTCATTGTTGCAGCCAGGTGTAATGTGGGCCTGGAAGAGACAGAAACCTACTTGGGAGAAGGAGACAAAGCTGTTGGCCATGCTGTTGGCCATCTTGAGTGGAACCTGGGCTGGCTGCTCTCTCTGGTGGTATCATGGAGCCAGGGTGCACTATAATTCAAATCCTCTTTTTTTTTAAGTTGTTGTATATGACAGCAGAATGCATTACAATTCATATCACACATATATCAAATGCTCTTGAAAAATGTCAGGTTTTATTCTCAAACTGAGAGCTTATTTTTTTTCAAATAAAATATTGAAGAACTGATGTTAGAAATCTGATGATTATAGGCTGACCAAAGGAACAAATGACAAAGAAGTATAGATGGAAAGTATGTTCCACTCTCTATGGAACTGCCGTGAAAGGAAATTATTAAAGATACAATAATAACTTGAAGGTGGCTGAGAGTTGAAGAAATGTTGTTCTTTCCCAAATGAAGAGATAGATGTGTTTATACATTTAGGAGGGAAACATCCAAAACATGAAGGTGGGAAATGTAATAGCAAAGGGGACCAATATTGAAGCATCAGATATGAGAACCATGGAGGAAAGAGGGAAAAGACCAAGAAGGAAAAAATAGATATGAAAATAGCCTTTTTATAATTTCCCTGGTCATTCACTCCTGGCTCCAACACAGTGTGCTCCAACCTCCAGACTAGGCTGAAGTCTAGGCCCTGGAACCTCTTCTGCTCAAAAGTCTCAGTGATTCCCTTTTGGTTGCCATATTTAGTCCCAACTCATTGTCCTACCTTTTTTAAAAAAAAAATTATTTAATTTATTTATTCTAATTTGTTATATATGAGGGCAGAATTCAATTCAATTTATATTACACATATAGAGCACATTTTTCATGTCTCTGGTTGTACACAAAGTAGATTCACAC